AATATATTTCCAAGATTTCTAGCCCATGCAATAAAGATGACCATGTACAATGACTGAGAATGGGCTGAGAATTTAGTCAATAGACAAATGTGGCACTACAAGCTAATTCACAGGGCGACTGTAAACATGAAATGAGATGAAATTAAAATTATGATAGGCCCGCAAAAATACTAGCTCTCATTCCCTTCCCAGAAATATCTAGGTTTCCAGATTAATTCTACAGTCTAGCCTGAAGAATCTGATTTTAGCTACTGAATTCATGAGATGATATCCCTCCCTAATTGGAGAGATTTCTCTTATGAAGAACCTAGAAGAAAAACCAAGTTTTTTGAAGAACCTGGGAAAGTTCTGAAATACCTGGAACCTGATGAGAGAAAAAGGCAATATGGTCTCTATCTCCCACACAGGAAGTAGATTTGAATTATTTGGAGAGTGTTCAGAAGCTGAAATGAAAAAGGCAGCTTTGTGAATTGTGCAATATTCAAGGAGCAAGCAGTTCACAAAGCTTTGGTGTCTTTGGACAACTTTAGTTTCATATTTAGAGAAATAAATATTGCTACTGAGATTAATTTTAACACAAAAGAAATAAAGGAATATACAGCCATTTGAGAACTCAAAGGTTTTACATGTTGGGTAGCATCAAGAGACAGGACCCTAGAAGAGAACCACAGGCCTTGTGGAGAATTTTTGCATCAAAAGCCACCACAAGTTGCTTGCCTCAACTTGCTACTTAGGCAGGAAATAGTAACAGTTATTTGACAGTGGGAGAACATAAGATGTTGGTCATAGGTATATGAAAACCTCCAGTTTTAGGGAGTTTTAGGGAGGAAAGGAGTTAAGACACTGTTTTTATTCAGGTGTGAGGCCATGAGTCCACAATATAAAAACATTAATTTTAATATGACTATTCTTTGTTAGGTACATAAACTCAAGACCTGTGGAAATTTGGGTTATACACAGAGATTCAACTCAATTTCTGCTTTTTCTATGACATTAGGGATACATTCCTCCATTAAATATTTGGGATCAAGTTCTGATGACATGAGCTTGAGCTACACTATTTAACCTTTCTTAAATTCTTGCTGGAAAATTAGACAAATTCTTTTGTCTTCTGAAGAGAAAATATTCTT